ACTATTATTTGTCTATTTGTTTTCCTGAGAAACTATCTTGTAGATAACAATATGTAAAACAACAACCATTGATAATTTCCTACCACTTTGTCTGTAATTTGGTAAGCACCCCCATTACTATGTTATCCTTCTTTTACTCTTAAAAAAAAAAAGAGAGTTTAGTTGATATAGTAGTTGGTTCCTTTTTTCCCCTTAGGTTGTACTTATGTGCCATACTGCCCTTCTGCTAACTGGTCAAAGATAGGGAAAGGAGGAAGGAATTTTCTCTTCTAAAAATTCAGGAAGCTTTGAAATAAAAATAGCTCCAAATGCAATCATGTATATTTTGTATTTTTACTTTATGTTATTTCATCCCCTAGCTACTTCATAAAGTGTTATTCTTTTAACTTGCAAAGGATGCTGAGAAGTTAAGCACATCAACAACTGCATAATTGATTCAATATGAAACTGGGGCACAAAATCCAGTTGTTTTGACTCCAAGTCTAGTTTTGCTTCCAATATGGTATATTACTATCACTTCCTGATCTGAAAGTTAACGTTAACTTCAGTTTGTGATGGTAATATTTCCTTCAAAGACAGCCCAACCATAAATAATCTCTCAAGATAAAGACTGTTATACTTTTTATCACAATGGTTTTGTTTTGTTTGTTTGTTTGTTTGTTTTTGAGATAGGATCGTGCTGTAGTTTAGGCTAGTCTTGAAATCACTATGTAGGCCAGGCGAGCACTACCATGCCAAGCTCATCACAAATACTGTGTGTGTGTCTGTGTGTGATTACTGTATATCAGCTGCTGTTCTAGATGCTGGTGGTAGTCAGTGAACAAAATAAGCAAAGATTCCTGCCTTTATGGAGCTTATATTTTACTGAGAAGGCAACACACGTAATAAATAAGCAAAACTTACACTATGAGAGAAGGTCAAAACCATGGAGAAAAGAAAAGTGGTAAAGGGAATCAAGCACTAGGTTATAATTTTGAATAGAGGTGTCCAGCTGTGCGCCTCATTATAAAGGTGACATTTGAGCAGACTTGAGGAATTACCCATGTGGATTTTTAAGTGAGGAGCATTTCAAGCAGGGAAAGAGCTAGTACACGTACCCTAAGTTGGGAGTGTGCCTCATCTGTCTGAGGAACATACAGCATGCACAGCAGGCTGTTTGTATCAATGAAAGCTCTTAAAGGTTCACCATCACTGTCAGAGGGCCTCATATCCCATCCTAAGAAGTCCTGATTGTATTCTGAGAGAAACAGGGAGCTATTCTGAGAGAATAGAGAGCTGGGGATGTTGCTCAGGAGGAGAGCACCTGCCTAGCATGCACGGGGTCCTGGAATTGATCCCTAGCACTGCAAAAAAAAAAAAAAAAAGAATGGTAACAGATCCTGAGGTAGATACTTGTTGTTTTTCTTTTTGATATAAGATCTTACTATGTAGTTCAGACTGGCCTTGACTCACCATGTAGCTCAGGCTAATCTCAAACTCAAAGTGATCCTCCTGCCTCAGCCTCTCAAGTGCTAGAATTACAGGCATGTGTCACCACACCCGGCTACCTGCTTGATGTTTGAGAAACAGAATAGAGGCTTTGGTGGCAGGAACAGAGTGTATAAAGAGTAATTTAGAGGCAGCTCAAGGAGGTAGTGGGCTATGTAAAACTTTATAGGCTACGATAAAGACTTTAGATTTTTTAAATTTTTTTTTTTTTTTTTTTTATTCTGAGTAAGAAAGAAGTTACTGGAAATTTTAAACAAATGAGTGACAAAAGCTGACTTATGTTTTGAAAAATTACTCTGGCTTTTGTATAAAGGAAACACTTTTGGAGCTTGAGTAGAGATAGCCAGCAAAAGTTTCCGTAGATACAAGGTGGTGCTTTGGATTGGATAGGTAAACAGAGGAGGTAATAAGAAGTGATATATTGTGAGTGCTGGGATTTGCTAAATGGACTGAATGCAGAATGTATGAAAAAGGAGGGCTGCAGGGATAGCTCGGGGGCATAGCACCTGCTTGGCAAGCATGAGGTCTCAAGTTTGATTCCCAGTACCAAAAAAAAAAAAAGAGAAAATAAGCTAGCCTTTTGCAGCCAGGCATGGTGGTGCACGCCTGTAATCCCAGCACTCAGGAGGCTGAGGCAGGAGGATTGTTGCAAGTTCGAGGCCAGCCTGGGCTACAAAGTGAGCTCAAGGCCAGCCTAAACTGCACAGCGAGACCGTCTCAAAAAGACAAAAAAGAAAAAGGAGCAGTTCATTTTGAGTCAATTTAGTGATAATTGTGTTTGATATCTGTGTGGAGCTGTGCTAGCCATGAGGTAGGAAACATTTCTCTCAAGTAGTGTCACTGCCAAGTGACCCCCTGACAGGTCATTGGTGCTCCCCGTAGTAGAGATGTTGATCCTGTTTCTCTTTAAACCCCTTTTCTAAACTGATCTTAAGGATCTTTTGCTTACATCACAGCCTTTCCAGGGCTCTAGTAAACTGCCTTTACTTGCTTTTGATTATTTTCTTATCTTCATAAGGGTCCTTTCCTTGATTCCACCATATCTTTCTTCCCAGGGAATACTTCCTAAGACAGGAGATATGTGTTATCATGTTGTCAACTCTTTACTTCAGTCAGCAAGATTGCTTGCTGGAAGATACAGGGTATGAAACATAAAAACCTGAAATACTTACAAGTCCCATCTCAATAAAAAATGCCAGTGGCACAAAAGAGTATCTCTTGGTCCTACCAGGTTGTTATCCTCCATGTGATAGCTCCAAAGGCTGAAGGACTCACTGCTTACAGTCTTAATGTCCCAAAATAGTTCATTTGCTTAAGTTCTTCTTAACTCTGTACAGAGTATTTACTTATATATTTTCCTTTTTAAATTCCTGGGTTTTTTAAACTGCTGTTGAGCATCAAACCCAGGGTTCTGCATATGCCTAGGTAAGTACTTTACACTGGTGATAGCCCCAGCTCCTAAAGTTCTACTTTTAAAGTAATACTTGCTTAACTTAAAAATTCAAATGATATAAATATTTAAAGTAAAAAGCAAAAAATTTACAAGGTTGGCATTATGTTACATTGTTCTGCAACTTTTTTCCACTTAACAGTGGTTTTCATGTTAACATATATAGATTTGTTTTATTTTGGTTTTGGTGGTGCTGGGGAAATTGAACCCAGGGCCTCATGCTAAGCAAGCTTTGTACCACTGAGCTACATCCCAAGCCTGTACTACTTTCCTTTTTTTTTAATTTGAAGATTAGTTCATTGTATGGAGCTATCATGATTTACATAGCCATTTCCTTTTTAATTTAGATTTTTATTGTAAATAATGCTAGATTGAACATTCTTGGATGCTTAGTATTTCTGAACTTGATCAATTATATATAGGAGTCCTAAAAGTGAAACTAATTGGTCAAAATTAGTTACATATAAAATCTTCCTAGCTATTGCCAAATTGCTCTCTGGGAAGTTTGAACTGCTTTATGAAATTTTAATGTCTCAAGAAATATCATGTTTCCCTTCTTCCTAATAAAAGAGTAATACATTCCGGGTGTGGTGGCACACATCTGTAATCTCCACTTGGGAGGCTGAGGCAGGAAGATCCCTGTGTGTTCAAGGCCAGCCTGGAATACATAGTGAGTTCAAGACCAGCCTGAACTAAAAAGTGACATCCTGTCTCAAAAAAAAAAAAAAAGAGAATCAAACCATGAGTATGGTTCAGATTACACTGAAATATATATCTATCTTTCCTACTGTATTGATACTACCATGAACATCTAAACATTAGTTGAGCACCCCATTGTGTGTTTAGGTAGAACTTGAGGATGCAAAAGTGAAAAGAAGATACTGTCCCTATCTATAAATTGTTCATACTCTAGTAAAGGAATCCACAGTCTTACCTATATTTGTGTCCTTTACTACAATGCTTAGAATATGGTATGTACTGAGTAGATGATTATTATATAACTAAAAGTGTTTTTCTTTGTCTTAAAGCTAGTATTTGGCAGAACTTTTGAGTTTTTCAAATGAGCCAATAGGCAGTTTTAGAATATGAGCTCTCTTTCTATTTTAGGCACTCCTACTGGAAGAAGGGAATAGTTATCTTAAGTCTACACCCTGTGACTGTTACTTGGTTGCTGCTGTTAATAAACTTAACATTTTTTTCTCTTGTTCTCTAAATACACAATATACAGAAATGGAAGGAGGGTGAGCCATTGGGAGCTTTACGATTGAGCATTTTTTTTTAAAGGTTACCTCACATTTGCACTTAGGTCACAAAGCTTCTGTAACCTTAGGGTGGACTGCCATCATTGAGAAGGTGGAACTGGGGCCATTGGGACATGAGGGCAGAACCCTGGGCCCCAGCATGCTGTTTAGCACACTCAGCCCTCTCTGACTAATCCCACTCAGCTCTGGTCTTCCTTTCTTCTCTCTTCAGCACTTACATATTCCGTTTGCACTGTATTAATTTGCACTTGTTTGCATGTTCCTTTGTAAGTATTTTCCTATCACATATGTATTGTTCTGTGTCCCCACCTAAATTTGAGCTCTTTGAAGGCAGAAACCATGCCTCTGGTTTCTTTTGTATTTCCCATAGCATCTTTTACTGTGCTCAGCAGAGAGTGGGCGTACAATGTATGTTGTGGAATGACATCCTGAGTGATCCCTCCCTGGCTGGGCCTAAGATTAAATTCCCTGAAATGGAACAGTCCTAATCAACCCAGGACAGGTATTCTCCATCTGGCATGTTGGTTGCTCCTTGAAATGGCTCCCTTCACCGTCTTCCTGTCACCAGCATGGGACTTGCCAAGGCTAATGATGTTCTTACCGTATGTGTTCCAGGCAAGTCTGCGGACACCAGAGCTGACCTGGGAGCGAGTGAGATCCCAAGTTGACCATGTGATATGGCCCGATGGCAAAAGGATAATCCTACTGGCCGAGGTAAGATGAGACCAGCAAGAGACGTGCCCCCCAAAGGGAAAACTGCAGGGCCCAGGGCCCCTCTGCCTCACGTTCCCTTGTCCTCTTACTGCTTTTTCTTAAGCACAAGTTTAACTGCTTAGCAATGGATTTTACTTCTAATTGTGAAAGGTCTTTTCATTTAGCAATTAAGAAACTATTTTGGTTCCCCACTTTTCACCAATTATCCTGTCTCCCTATGTCACTCTCCAGGTTGAGTCAGATAATGACTATTACTGTGGAAGGAATTAACAGATAGAACCAGTGCCACTTTGAGTGATGCTTACAAAGAGATAATGTCATTTGTGGGATGGTTTAATCAGGAAGCACAAAGTAGATATTCCTGACTATAATTTAGACTGTCTTAGGCAAGCTCTGGGAAAGTCGTGTCTTTGCTAAGAGAGCCTCTGTATTTGAGTGTCTGTTTTCCTGAATTGAGCCAGATGTGTAGTAGGTACTCAACTATATATGTGGATGTTTGATTGATATTTCCCTACCCTGGTCCCTTCTAGCCCACACTTATTCCACTTTTTTAATATTATTTTTGGGGTTTTTTTTAATAATGATGATGATAATGACGATGCAGTTCTGGGGATTGAACCCAGGGCCTTTAACATGCTAGGCAAGTGCTCTGCCACTGAGCTCCACTTCTAGCCCTTACATTTATTTTTTACTTCATCCTCTGTACCTTTTTGTGTCAATGTTTAAGTACCTGAAGGCTCCTCTTCCCCAGTCCTGTATTTCTTTTTTTTTTTTT